AGTGGGGAAGTAGGCACCTCGTAAGGGATAGCCACCCTGTAGGAAGACCTGGATAGGCTGAAAGAGTGGACTGACAAGAACCTTATGAAGTTCAACAAGGACAAGTGTAAGGTCTTATACATGGGAAAACATAATCCAGGAGTGCAGCACAGGCTGGGATCTACCTGGCTGGAGAGCAGCTCTATGGAAAGGGACCTGAGGATCCTGGTGGACAAAAAGCTCAATATGAGTGAACAGTGTGCTGCTGTGGCAAAGAAAGTCAACAGAATTCTGTCTTGAATCAACCAGTAGAGATGAAGAAGTCATTATCCCACTCTTCTCAGTGCCTTGCCAGCAATACTGTGTCCAGTTTTGGTCCCCACTACACAAAAGATATGGACAAGACAGAGAGAGTCCACAAAAGGGACACAAAGATGATCAAACGAGTGGGAAACCTGCCATATGAGGAAAGGCTGAGAGAACTGGGTTGATTCAGCCCTGAGAGGGTTTAGAGGACACCTTATCACCATGTTCCAGTATTTTAAGAGTGGCTACAAAGAAAATAGAGACTCTTTTTACAAAGAGTCACATGTAAAAGACAAGGGGTAATGGATACAAGTTACTCCTGGAGAGATTTCCATTGGACACAAGAAGAAATTTGTTTACAGTGAGAACAATCAGCTATTGGAATAATTTCCCCAGGGAAGTGGTGGATTCTCCAACATTGGACACTTTTACAATTTAGCTGGACAGGGTGCTGGGCCATCTGGTCTAGACCTTGCTTTTTCCAAGAAATGTTGGACCAGAAGATCCTTGACATACCTAGTATTATACAAGTCTATGAAATCTGAAACACATCTCCTATGTTTCTCATCAGCCATATGTGACTGAAGTATAAAGTAGATATTGCTTTGCAAGTCAAATTCTGAGGAAGAAAAAAAATATGCATTCCTTTCTTCAGCCTTTTATAGAATGGGCCATTTTCTCTGTTAGACTCCAAGATCTCCTGTACTCTAGACATAATCCCAAAACCATACCTGCACCGGGAACATACTGCTGGGAATAATTAGCAGACCACACAAATTCCTGGTAAGTATCTTCCTGGATTATCTTCCCAGAGCAATGTTGCCCACAATGACTTCCTCTCTCTAAACAGCTATCTATTTTCTTCCCTAGCTCACTGAAAATACATACTATAGGAATTTTATAGGAACATGTCATGAGGCAGGCTCTACACATTTTAATCTTTAAAAGAGCCCTCCCTCCATCACCCTACTCCTCAAACTAAGAACTTTATTGAATTGCAGCTGAAATGCAGATGAAAAATTAAAATCCTACAATTCTTATAAAGATTTGTAGGGATGGTATGTTTATTACACCGCTGGATGCATGTGGGGATTGTTCCCCTTTAAAGGACATGCATGCTTTTGAGAACTCTTGATTCCTTTTTATTTATCTTTGCTAATTTACATATGCATAGTGTTTCACAATAGGTTTATGTATATTTATTCTACTGATTTTGCATTATACTTACAGCTAGTTACACTTATAGTCAGTTTTTTATTAGAAAGTGCAGAAAGAACTCTTGGGTTATTTTGCCTTGTCTGTTTTAAGGTTCAAGGAGCTTTTCTTATTTCTTCAGCTCGGAAATTCACATTCTTTCTCTTTAGCTGGGGTAGTTTCACTAGTGCTGCAGAGTTACTAGACTAAACAGCATATTTTACTTATGCTAGCAAGCTTAAAGTGGCACATTTTACCTAAATCTAAATGGATTACTACCTTGTTAAATTTTTACTCTGTTTCACAGCAAGGCCTCTAAATTTGAAATCCTTTATGTTCATTCTTATTTTAAAATGTTGTGTAGTACGTAGTACATGCAGTATAAATGCAAATGAGATTCTCTCTTTATCTTGAAAAAAGAAAAATCACCATTTCTTGAGAGACAAACATAATCCTAGTTTGGTACTTCAAGACTGCTTGTCTCATGAAAAAGGGAGATTTCCTCAATCTGGGGAGAAATCTCCTCAGTGTGGGGAGATTTACTTGATCATTAATATTTAATGTCTGTCAGTGCCCCAGGAAAGCTGATACCCTTGTGCTTGACCAGCCTGTCAGCATCCCCTTCTGGGGACCCTTCACTGAGCAGTCCTGCTGGATTGGAGGGCAGTTCAACTGATTTATTCAGGGAAATATGCCACCAGGATAAGGGAGACCCCTCAGCGGGTCTTCCCAAGTTGTGACCCTTCAGTGGGCCTTTCATTGTATTCAAGTATATTCCCTGCTGCCGGCGATTGCCAGTGCCCATGAAGGACTCACATTAACAGTTCACAGAAAAACACTCTTTATTAATATAAAATTGTGACAGGTCAAAGTTCAAGGATTGCCAGTGACAATTTCTGACTGCAAAAACATATTCAAAGCAACATACAGACAAGCTCTAATCCCCAGTAAAAGTATTCAGTGCACACAGAATATGGTTCTTACCCAACAGGCATCTCTATGGGGGAGAAGACAGGTTCAGCCCATCGACTGATCCCAGCAGTTATGATGGAGTCTTCCCTAACTTTTCCCCCATTCTTGACTTACTTTTATACTATTTCTTTGTGTTTAGGTGGAGCTTGAGTGACTCTAGATGTGCATACCTTTGTTACTGATTGTGAGAATTTTACACAAATTCTCTCACTTCACTTTTAAAGATACGGTCAAAAAAATATAGAGCATATTTCCAGTGAGGGGTGGTTGTACCTTGTAGGTGGGTAACTTTGTGATGGAGGTGCACTCTAACATTATAATTAGGCTATAATGGACCAAGGTAATCTGAGGAGAACAATTTCACCACAGTTGTTGGCTCGGCAGCAAGACATCTTCTATCTCCCTTGGTTGACAGGTGCTATCTGGTTTATCAGCTGCAAAGTACAATTGAGTTCCCCTCCCTGCAAGGATTTCAATAGAGCCTGGCTGCAGTGTTTCCACTCTGCTCCAGCCTCTGCTCCATCACCCTTAGCAGGTGCTATGGTTGCAGATTGTGGGTGTGGGGAATTATTGTAGAATGGGTCTCGAGCATGCCAACTGCATTCCACCAAGGGAGCAGCAACTGTATTTTACCCTATAATTTCTGTACCATTATAACTTCTGTTAGGATGTGAATATAGCTTCTCATTTTCCTCTAATTTTACACCCGGCCATCTTTCCACACTGATCCAGAAAATGTTACTTATAATGTGCTTCTGCTAAGTGACACCTTGTGGCTTGAAGATGTCATCTTACTTTGCTTTCTTTAGTCCTATTTGTTGTTCTGAAAGATGATTGTATACTTCCATAGTAATCTAAATGTCAAGAACAATAGTACTGATCCAGACCAGGGGTCTTCATAACCTAGTACTCTGTCCAACAATGGCCATAAATTGATGCTCAGAGAAGAGAGCAGATCAAACATGATATTCCTTGATACGCTTTCAGATATTTTCAGATCAGGGAATTCTGATAGCCTGTTTTCATGTGTCTCTTTAAAGCCCACAATGCATTTCTTCCATGTACTTATTCAGTCTCCTGATGAACCCATGTGAATGTCTTGCATATGCGTCATCCTTTGAGAAGGGGAGAGTGTCCAAAGGAGGGCAACAAAGATGGCGAAGAGTCTTGAGGGGAAGCCTTAGGAGGAGCAGCTGAGGCCACTTGGTCTGTTCACCCTGGATAAGAGACTGAGGGGAGACCTGATCGCATTCTACGACTTCCTAATGAGGGAAAGAGGAGGCGCAGACTAATCTCTTCTCTGTGGTGCTCAGTGGCAGGACCCAAGGGAATAGCCTGAAGTTGTGTCAGGAGAGGTTTAGGTTGGATATTATAAAAAGGTTCTTCACCCAGAGGATGGCTGGGCACTGGAACAGGCACCCCAGGGAGGCGATCACAGCATCAAGCCTGACAGTGTTCAAGAAGCATTTGGACAATGCTCTTAGGCACATGGTGTGTGACTCTTGGGAATGATCCGTTGCACATCCAGGAGTTGGACTCAATGATCCCTGTGGGTCCCTTCCAATTCAGCATATTCTGTGATTCTGTGAGATTGCATAAAGATTCACCTTCCTTTGTTTTGAATATTTCTCTCACTAATTGCCTTTAATGGACTGTATTCATATATTGGAAAAGGCAATGAAGACTTGATCTCTATCCATGTTTCCCATGCCACTCAGGATTCTTAGGTCCTTACCCTATTCCTCCTCCAAACTCTCTTTTTCAGGCTGATGAGTTCTTGCCTACTTCAACTTTGTTCATATGGAAAAAAAGCACAAAGTGTTTAACAGGTCAGGCTAGTATGAAAAGGCACATGAGTTTCTGTAGGTGTTAGCACAGAAACTTAGCACCTACCTAATGCCATATCCTGCCACATCTGACCTTTTTGACTGGGCAGCCACTTAGAGTCACCTGGAAACATTTTCAATAAAAATATAGAACTCCTGACTTTGCAGGATGCCTTACCCCACTCCATGCCACAAATCCATGTAATCTACAATCAGCATTATAAAATTGATTATATCATGAAATATTAATAACCCCCATATGATTTCAACTTCTTTTCCTCTTATCCCTTTCCCCAAAATACTCCTTCCACTTTATATACTTTTGTCTTTCAGTTCTTACTCCAATATTGCACCTTTTTTGTCAGCGGAAAGACACTTCCATGTAATGTATTTTTTCTATGAAGCAAGCTAAAGCATTCAATTATGGCCCTAAATCATTAACGTGATTAAAATACTCTGGGTGTTGGGTTTAGAATTGTGTGCTCAATATAGCACTAAAAATAAATTGATTTCCAAGTCTACCAGAGGTGCATATATATATATATATATATATATATATATACAGTAAATCAGTAAATTCTAACCATTTTTCTTAACACACTCTTTCAGTGCAAACCAATATTTAAATTATTGCTTCATTTATTGGACTACAGTTAAAAGTGAGGGTTTATTTTTCATTTCCATTGCATGAGGTCTTCTGTGTTGATTTCAGGTTACCTTGTCTTTTAGAAATTTTATCCTTCCAAGACAAATGGCTAGCACATTCTGTCGTCTCCTGGCTGGCCGTGCAACTGCTGCATCCTTTGCAGCAGCAGGCACAGGGATCCTAACTGCTGGCTACCTCTTCAATAAGCAAAATGTTAAAGCTACTGTTCAAGAAAAACGAAAACTCTTCCCTCCAAGGTAAGCTCTTTGGGTTTAATAGTCACCTGAGCATAGGGCCCAGCTAACTGAGCTAGGCATAGCATTTAACTCTTTGGGGAAGGAAGATCTCCATTAAAGCTGAAGAGCACTTATTCCCTCACTCAAACACACCATCTATGTGTCTGCATATGGATTGTTAACTGTCAAGCTAAAACCCAATATCCTTTATTAATAACCCCAGTTTTAAATAGCACTGACAATGGCATTCAAGGACAGAAAATAGGGATGTTAGATCATATCAGCATACTTACAAAATCATTGCCAAACAATTACAAGCCTAAAAAATGGTTCAATTTTTAAGCAAAGCACCAAATCAGTCCTTATTTTATCTTGTCAGCTCTTGAATGCTTTCAGTGTCTATTGGACTGGCTGGCTGCATAGATTCTAATATTAGGAAGCATAAAAGTATTCTAATTATACAAGTAGTAAAGAAATATCTTCTATAACTACTGTACTTGAAATATTCCTAATTCTGTTTAAAACCTAGTTGGTTGATAATTAGAAACTAACTACAAATATGTATGCTGACTTTGCTGGCCATATTTGTGAAAAAACAAAACACCCAAAAAAAGGACCAGGCCTTGACAGACTTTTTTTTTTTTTTTTTTTTTCCCCATGGCAAATAGTATATTAGTTCAAATAAACTCTCATAAAAGTAATGGGGTTGTGCATAAAGCAAAGTGCTATCAAAACAAGGTAAATGTGATCTGACTCACAAAAATGTTTTCTGAAAGCATATAATCTTCATTTTCTCTGCTTTATTATATTGTACAGCTTTTGGTAAATAAGACCATTAAAACAATCCCAACTATTTTAAAATAGATTCCTAGCTGATATAGATCAGACAGTTACACTGATGTCCACAAAGCTGCAAGAATATCTCAGTTCAGAATGAGAGCTCTTATTCAGTTAAACATAATTAATTTCCTACTTGAACAAAACAATGTTAGAGCACTTTTAATTCTCAGTAAGTGTCTTAGCAGAGATTTAATAGGCTTTAATACACTTTCAAGGATTCATTTGTCTGGTTGCTCCAAGTAACAGAAAACTGCTATTGTCTGTTAGTGGAGTTGCCCAGCAGTGCAGTGTGGAGTACTTTGTGTAACTTCAATATACCTCCCTTCCTAAATTTCAGTGTAATGTATTGTGATGGGTTATCTTTGTCTCGCTGCCGTATGCCCACACAGCCACTCTCTTACTCCCCCTCGTCAGCAAGACAGGAGGAGAAAATAAGGTTAAAAACCTTGTGGGTAGAGATAAAGACAAAGAGATCGGTGGCCAATTATCATCATAGGCAAAACAGACTTGACTCAGGGAAGAATAATTTTTAAAATTACCAATCAGTTGTTACAGAGTAGGATATTGAGAAATAAAACCAAAACTAAAATCACCTGTCCCCTACACTCCCCTTCTTTCCAGGCTTGACTTCACTTCTAACTCTTCTACCTCCTCCTCCCGAAGCAGCATAGGCAGGGATGGGGAATGGGGGTTCTGATCAGCTCATAACACTTTGTCTCTGCCACTCCTTCCTCCTCACGCTGTTCCCGTGATCCAGAGTGGGTTTCCTCCCATGGGATACAGTCCTTCATTAATGTGTTGGCTTTGCATGGCCTAGTTTTTGGTAGCAGAGGGACCACAGAGGCAGTTTCTGTGAGAAGCTGCTAGAAGCTTTCACCATGTCTGGCAGAGTCAATCCCTGATGGCTCTGAAGATGGACATGCCACTGGCCAATTCTGGGCCAATTAGGGATGCTGGTAACGCCTCTGTAATAACATATTTAAGAAGAAATTCCAAACAAAGTGGGGACACAGTTTTTTTCCTAGCCAGAGAACATGAGGAGGTGAAAACATGTGAGGGAAAACAACATGGTGACACCAAGGTCAGTGGAGAAGGAGAGGGAGAAGGTGCTCCAGATGCTGGAGCTGAGATTCCTCTGCAGACCATGATGATGACCATGGTGATGCAGGCTGTCCCCCTGCAGCCCATGGGGGTTCTGGGGATTCACAGGGGATGCAGAGATCCACTCAGAGCCTGGGGGGGAGGTGCCCAGGCCAGAGCGGGTAGATGCCTCGAGGAGGCTGTGATCCAGTGGGAGACCCAATGGAGAGAGGGGGGCCCCTGCTTCCAAGCTGGAACAGCCTGTCCTTGGAGTACTGCACCCCATGGAAGAGTGGTCCATGCTGCAACAATTTAGGGTGGACTGTTTGCCCTCGGAGGGACTCATGTTGCAGCAGGTGCAGTAGGACTGCTGCTCATGAAAGTGGACTCATGCTGGAGAAGTTTATGGAGAACTGTCTCCCGTGAGAGAGACCCCATGAAATAGCAGGGGAAGGACTCCTTTCCCTGAGCAGTGGAAGAAAACCTCAGGTGATGAACTGACCAAAACCCATACTCCTTGTCTCCTTGCACTGTCGGTAGGAAGGGGGAAGGGGGCCTGGGGGAAGAAAAGGTGTTCTTAAGGGCTTATTTTACTTCTCATTATCCTCCTCTGGTTTTGTTAGTAATAAATTCACTTTGTACCTCCAAGACAAGCCTGTTTTGCCCTTGGGGTGTTTTCTCCCAGTCCTTATATCAACTCATGAACCCTTTGTTTATTTTTTTTTCTCTCCTCTGCCCAATTGTGGCAGGGGAGGTTGAGTGAGCAACTTTCTTAGCTGCCTGGCATTTGGCCAGTGTCAAACCACGACAGTGAACTTCAGTGTGAATCCCTTCGAAGAACAAACTGCAGTTCTTCAAGAACTGCTCCTGCATGAGTCCTCCACAGACCACAGTTCCTGCCAGAAAACCTGCTCCTGCATGGTCTACTCTCCATGGACCACAGTTCCTGCCAGGAGCCTGCTCTATCATTGGCTCACCATGGGCTACAGCTTCCCTCAGGGCACATCATTCTCCTCTGGCATGGGATCCTTCATGGGCTGCAGAGGTTTAGCCTGCCTCACCATGGTCTTCACCACAGGCTGCAGGGGAATCTCTGCTCCAGCACCTGAAACACCTCCTCTCCCTCCTTCTTCACTGACCTTGATGTCTGCAGGGTTGTTTTTCTCACATTTTTTCTTACTTTTCTCTCACACAACTTCTATGCAGTGTCTTTTACCCTTTCTTAAATATGTTATCACAGAAGCACCACCAGCTTCACTGATTGGCACAGCCTTGGCCAGTGGTGGGGTCCATTTTGGAGCCCACTGAAACTGTCTCTGAGCATGGAGGCAGCTCCTGATTTCTTCTCATAGAAGCCATTCCTTCAGCCCCTCCACTAGAAAAATCTTGCCACATAAACTGAATATATGTATAAAACAAGAACTAATTGTATTTTTCAGCTATTCTGTGCATTTCATATTTCCTGATTGCTTAAGTAGTTTCTTAAGCTAGCAAGGATTACTGTTTAAAGATATCATATTAAGTGCTTATTATATTTTTTTCTCTTCAGTGCAGACTATCCTGATCTCCGTAAACATAACAACTGCATGGCTGAATGCCTCACACCAGCAATTTATGCCAGGCTAAGGGACAAAATGACTCCAAATGGCTACACCCTAGACCAGTGTATCCAAACCGGGGTTGACAATCCTGGCCATCCTTTCATTAAAACTGTGGGCATGGTTGCAGGTGATGAAGAATCCTATGAGGTAAAGTATTTTCACAATGCTATTATATATTTTTTTCAGTTTGTATGGTATATTTCAAAAGACCTCATTATATGAACACATATTCTTAGTCAAATATGGACTTCTAAGAAAAACTGTGTCCCAGAGAATATATATGGGGCAGATCATGTACATTTTCCCTACTCTTTATGAGGATTTGAATACTATTCTCCATTAGGTAATGCAGTGAATACGAGGCATTGCTAAAGGAGTCCTCTCTACTGCAGTCAAAGTCAATAAAATATGGTTGCTTGGGAGCAATCCTCTATTTCCCTCCAACAGCTGCTCTCTTTCTTAATACTGAACATAGTTTATGGCAAAACAACAGGAGACATCAAAATAAAGGTAATATGGAAATTACACTGTAAAACAACTGTGGCAGAACTGAAAAGAAAATGGCTTCTGTGACGTGCTGGGCATCTTTAAACCATAACTTCTGGACCCTGACAAAAGCCAAAGACAGTATTAGTATATTAAAAAGAAGAAAATCCTTGTTTTTATTGACCTGTGTGGTCTGCTTCCTTCAGTCTACCATACAGTAGTATATTATTATATAATCTCTTAAGAGTATCCCAAATGCAATGCTAGGCTGCTCAACATGGAACAAGACATCTGATATTCTGTGACTGCCAGCTTCTTTGATTTGTTTTACTTATTTAGACATAGTGACTGCCTTGAAAAGCTCTGCTAGAGTTATTGCTGCACAACAGAATGAAGGTGTGATTGTGATCAGTGTTGACATACCTGTGCTAAATCATTCTAAGTAGCACCAGTAGTCAATGGCAGTGAAGACAGGTATTCTCATATAACCTAAGAACAGGGCACAAGCTGCCTGGAGACTGAACATGTATTTTAGTTGCTAATAAATCTTGAAATTTAATCTGGTTGCCATCACATATAGTACCTATCTGTGGTAACCAGAATAAGCTTGCAACTAAAGTAAGGTGCAATTTTTGTTGTGGAGGTGAGCAACCGCTATAGAGCACCGTTTAGGTCAAAATGACTGAACTCCACCACCAATAATCTCCCAATTTGTTGTTAGGAGACAGAGAGTGAAATCCCATGTTCTGCTTCTAAGATGTACAGGAGAAACTCAGAGCAATTGCAAAACTCATGGCAAACTACTGGCAGCTACCATCTTCTATATAAACAATAGATCTATTTAAATAGATTTTGAGAGGTAATTTTTTCAGATGCATTTTCAAAGATATAACCCACATATGACCCTTCCCTTTATATTTACCCCAGTCAGCACTTGCTGACAACCATGGCTATCATCCAGGAGCCTGTACCCAGGGATTTCCCTTGTGACTGAAGTTAGTGCATTAAAGTGTTTCTATGACAGTGAAGACTTTTTGTAGATTCTCTTGACTCCATAGGTATTTGCTGAGATTTTTGACCCTGTCATTAAAGTGAGACATAATGGCTATGATCCATGCACAATGAAGCATCACACAGACCTGGATGCATCCAAGGTAGGATTTAAATAAAATAATGAGGAAATCAAGATTCAGTGCTGCTGCTTACAATGATGATACTTGTTACAGTGCACTCAGGCTATGCCTTTCCCCTTTCCCCGGGACCCCTGTGACTCTGATCAGATAAGCCTGGTCGCCTCCTTCCAGCCCCAACAGGGTTGGCATAGAGCCAAGAAGCCCTCCCTGTCCAGAGCCTAGATAAATCCCTAACCCTTCCCGTTCGGTCTCTTTGCCCCGCTCTTTCCCCAGGACATCACAGAATAAAGAGAGCTGGACAACTACATCGGGGTAAGAGCCTCTTTTGGAAATATTTGCCTATCTCCTGATATTCCTCCCCTCAAAGCCTCGGATCTCTGGGCTAGCCTGATAATTAAGGGGCTGAGAGGGGGGAAACGTCAGATACTGTATGTAATAGTACATTTTTTCCCCTGATCAGACTCCAAAGAAATTAAAGAAACTGGCTAAAGAAACTGGAATGACACAAATTACTGAAATGGCACATCCCACAGGGAGTATGTCTGAATGAAGCGATCTCTGGTTCTGTCCTTTCTTATTGCAAGCCTGTTAGTTTACAGCTTAGATTTGCAGGGGTTTTCCGCATCTGACAAACTAGCATCTACATGGCCTTTCTTTCTCTTCCTTATTCTTTTCTTCTAATTTCCTCTCTTTACTGGACCACTTTCACCTGACTGCTTCATTCAATTACACCCTGACATTACGCAGAAGTTTCAGAGGTACAAGACTGTGGAAAAGGAGCAAGCTAGGAGCCAAGACAAACAAAATAGTGGATACACCAAAGACACATTTCCACAGTACCCAAGCAAGGAGAGAACAGGTGAACAGGTCTAGTTACAGTAAACAAGTTTGATGCCTAGAGAGGCTGACCTAGAACAGAGACTAGACAAAGTCAGAAGAATAAAGTAGGTATTTATTAAAAGGCCTTAAAGGATACACCTTGGGCAGTACAGGAGCCTGGCCAGGGCTACATCCAAGATGAACGCAAGATGGACAACAGTCATGAGTTTTTACACTTATAAGTTTTGGTCCATTTACATACTGGGGTTTATTGTCCAATTACAGCTTCAGGTTATGAAGTTCCATCCTCCTGGTTGCTTTCTTCAATTTGCTGTTGTTTATGCTTTTGGGCCTGAGGCAGTCCTTGGTTCTCAAGCTGGAAAAGGATTGTTTCGTCTAACTACCCCATGAGGAGAACTTACTAACATTTAATATGAAGTTCAGAGTAACACACTAAAGCAGTATAGAATCTGAAAAATATGAAAGCTAAAACTCAAGGCATCAGGTTCAGCCAACAGGCCAGTGATTGACAGCCCATAGTGACAAGGCAAGTCTGAGGTCAGGTCAGCGAGGCAGGGTCAGGATAAACAAGGTACAAGACCAGTCACAGGCATACTTAGAAAGTAGCTCAGATGAGGACTGAAAGGTGCCTTAAATTAATTGCAGCTCAAACCAAGGTTTAAAGACTGCAGATGAAATTTCTCAGAAATCTTTTTCAGACAGCTATTTTCAAAGTTGTTGGATCCATGGTTACACAACTGTGCAATATCAGAGCTGGATAAAACCCAGTGGAGAGAGGGTGAAAGAGGTTTGCAGAAATCTTTGGTGCACTCATGGATCTAACAGCAAACTAGTTGCATTCCTACCTTGTTCTTAACAGAGGTATTGATCCCAGGTGGTACAAAACATTTGGGGTTTTGCCTAATGGCACTGTGACCCTGTTCATGAGCTAAAGTTAACCATGTATTTAAGGATCAGAGTGAAAACATTCCCCTTCTCCTGCACACAGAGAGTCAAGTCTTAGCCATTGCTTAGTGTTTCCTTCATAGTTCGATAATGGCATTGATTAGTATAATCTTAGACTTTCTTCTTTCAAAAGAACTTCCACACTTGGCTTCATTTTCATGTTCATATCCATGTTTCGAAAAGCCATTCAGATATTTTCATATTCCATGCCAGAGCTAAGAAAAATCAGCTGGTTACTTCGCCACATTCAGTCACCAAAAGAACTTTGGAGTTTCTTAAAAAACCCTTAGTATTTGAAACAGAGGGGTTCCTAATGTTCTGTGATGTCTAGAAGAGGTCATAATTCCTGGGCAGAAAGGTGGCCCATTTTTTATGATGGTATTTTTAAATGGTGCTGTACAAAATGGGTGACTGTATGTAAATTAAAAAACATTCTTCCTTCAGATCACCCATGGTCAATTTGATGAGCGATATGTCCTCTCATCACGAGTACGTACTGGTCGTAGCATCCGGGGTCTCAGCCTTCCTCCAGCTTGTACCAGGGCAGAGAGAAGAGAAGTGGAAAATGTTGTAGTCACTGCTCTAGCTGGGCTGAAAGGAGACCTTTCTGGAAAATACTATAGCTTGACAAATATGTCTGAGAAGGATCAGCAGCAGCTTATTGATGTAAGTATAACTCCATGTTACGTCTGGTTTTTGCATGTGTCCTCCTTTATTAAATGAGATGTCTTTCATGTCTATTTCTTCTTGTGTATAGGGGTAACTAATACCAGCACAGGTTGGTTCTCTGGTTCAGTGGCAGTGTCTGTCACAGGGGTTGGAGTAAGCGCAGGACCTGTCACCAGGGCTCAAGTAGCCACAATGTCTATCATTGGGGTTGTAGAAGCCTCAGTGCCTGTCATTTTGTCATCAGATCCAGAGACCTTCTCTTCCTCCTGAGGGTACTGAGTAGTGTAGAACAGGGTTCTGTAGGCATTAGCTAGGCCCCAACAGGTTGCAGTGATTTGTATCTTTGTGGAATTGCCAGGGTGACAGCATACTTCTTCCTAATATTTTACTAGTTTTTCAGGATTCTGCAAATGTTCAGGGGTTCCAAAATGTTGGAGGTGGTCACTGTCCTGGGTACTTGCCCATATTCTCACACACCCTGCCATTCATAACTATCCATCCTTGAGATAGATGCCTGGGTGATGTTCTTAAATAACTGTTTAACCTTAAACAAGACCTGAACCATATTCAGCCACATGCTAGCTCCTAGCACAAGGATCAGGTTGGTTTCAAGGGTGTGCAAAGGGTATTCAAAATCTTTAAAGTTCTCAAATGCTACTGTAATCAGAGGAAGGAAGGAAGGAAGGAAGGAAGGAAGGAAGGAAGGAAGGAAGGAAGGAAGGAAGGAAGGAAGGAAGGAAGGAAGGAAGGAAGGAAGGAAGGAAGGAAGGAAGGAAGGAAGGAAGGAAGGAAGGAAGGAAGGAAGGAATCTCCCCCATAGGTTGGCTCTCTGGGAGAGAAAATAAAAGATGTAATTATTGATAGTTCCCAGTAGATAGCTGTTTTGACGGTGAGCAGGGTCAGTACCAAAGACAGACACCAATTTAAGGATTAGTTTAATTTACTATAATACTAAACTGCACAGAATTACAAAAGGATAAGATAAGCAATACATCTAATCATTGCTACAAAATAATGCCTATAGTGATTAAGAAAGATACATCACCAGTTACCCCAATACTTTACCACTTCATCCAGATCTGCACAAAAGCTGGGGGAAGACACTGTCACAGCAAGGGACTGGAGGACCACTCCTGGTAACTGGGAAATCCTACAGGTGCACCAACCTACAGGCAAAGAGGCTTCCAACTTCACTTCACTAGCCCATCTTTTATGTTGAATAAACAAGCTACTGTTATTTCTAGTATGGAAACATCTGGTTTTATTCTTCTGTAGGGTTTCTACCAAAGCTTGGCCAGGCCTCAAGGAGGAACCAAGGGAGTTATCTCTGTTCCTACACCCCCAGACAAGGCCAGATGTGGTCTTGTCTGGTTTCTAAATATGGAAACATAAATACATGTTTTGCCAATGAACGGGTGCATATATCACATTGCTAATAATACTATTTTAATGAGTGGATACATATAATATTTGGTTGAAAGGTTCATCTAGAAGTCAACTTTGACCCAGGGCCTGTTGTTCAGGCCTTAATACTTTGGTAGCTCCCAAAGTACAGAGGTGGTGGCAATGATGAGTGTATGGACCACCTTAGTTTTACCACCAGCAAGTCTACTATATCATAAGCCCATACTACAAAGTCCACTACAATCATAATCTGAGCCCAGGTCCCAAGGACAATAAATATCCACAGGGAACACATACAGCGAGTAAGGCATTATGTAAAAAAACCTGAGAACAAGCACAACAGCTCTGAGAGCAAATGAATCAACACTGTGACCAGCAGCTACTAAACAATACAATGAATGTTGATAAAAAACTTGTTTTAACATGGTCTTTCCCAATCTTCCATGAGCTCAACTCAAGAAAAGTCTGTCGTAGTTTAACCCCAGCTGGCAAGTAAGTACCATGCAGCCACTCCTCAGCTGCTCCAACTCCCCTCAGTTGATATAATGAGCATGATATTCTATGGTATGGAATATCCCTTTGGCCAGTTCAAGTCAGCTGTTCAGGTTATGCTCCCTTCTGGCTTTTTGTGCACCTCCTCATTGGCAGACCATGTGAAACTGAGAAGTCCTTGAATTAGAGTAAGCACTGCTGAGCAACAACCAAAACATGAGTGTGTTATCAACATTATTCTCATACTTTAAGCCAGGAGAGAATCAGGTTCACAAGCCATGCTATTTCATTTAATTGTATTGACTACCTTAATATTACATGCATAGGACAGGGTTATACTGCTTCCCTTAATAAACTTCAATTTATTTTGTATCTTTCTCTTTCTCTGTTTTTATTTCTCTTTCTGGTCCTGTTTTTGTGTCCAGGATCATTTTCTCTTTGATAAGCCAGTGTCCCCTTTGCTAACATGTGCTGGGATGGCACGTGACTGGCCAGATGCCAGAGGAATCTGGTATGTTGTGTGATATGTAGAAGCTTGTGTCATGTTTTTAAAAATGTATTACAAGTGTCCTTGCTTCTCCTAACCCCACAGTCACTCTACACTGGTACTCACAGCATGTTCAGTTTGTTTTTAAATATTTTTGTAGTGTTTTAAATGATAAATTGAAGAAAAAATAAAGACCTTTATAATTTTATAGGCAAAGACACAGAAATGATGCAAGGATTGTTGAAGTTTTAGAAACCATAGAAGAGCTTGATAACAGTCAAAAAGGAATTAGGGCTTCTCCCACAATAAAGGTGGAAGGATCAATACCCCAGCTGAAGTGCATCTACACCAATGCCTGCAGCATGAGCAACAAACAGGAGGAGCTGGAAGTCATTGAACAGCTGAAAAACTATGATATAATTGCAGTCATGAAAACATGGTGGGATGACTCAGAACTGGAGTGCTTCAATGGATGGCTATAAACTCTTCAGAAGGGATAGGCAACAAAGGAGAGGCCATGGGGCAGCCATGTATGTTAGGGAGTGTTTTGACTGTTTAGAGCTTGCCAATGGTGATGAAAGGGTTGCATGTTTATAAGCAAGAACCAAGGAAAAGGCTAACAAGGCAGATATCCTGGTGGTCTTCAGTTAACCAGGATGAAATGGCAGATGAAATATTCTATGAGCATCTGGGAATAGTCTCACATTCACTAGCCCTTTTTCTCTTGGAGACTTCAACTTACCACTTGTCTGCTGGAAATACAATACAGCAGAGAGGAAACAGTCTAAAAGGTTCCTGGAATGTGCAGAAGAAAACTTCATGACGCATCTGGAGAATGAGCCAACTAGGGAAGGCATGCTCACTGGACTTTTTGTTTGTGAAAAGAGAAAGAACTGTGGGTGATATGATGTTTGGGGGCCATTTTGAGCACAGCGATCATTAAATGATAAGGGTTTTCAATTCTTGGAGAAGTAAGAAGTATGGTTATCAGAACTGCTACCTTGGACTTCTGGAAGGCAGACTTTGGCCTGTTTAAGGGCCTGGTTGAGAGAGTGCTTTGTGAGGCAGTCCTGAAGAGAAAAGGAGTCCAGGAAGCACAGCTAGAAGTTAATATGGCAACTTCCATAAAAGGCAATAAAAATAGTTGTATAAATACATTAACAACACAAGGAGGGCTAAGGACAATCTCCATCCTTTATTGGATGGGAGGGGGAAACATGGTGACAAAGGATGAGGAAAGGCTGAGGTAGTTAATGCCTTCATTACCTCAATCTTTAATAGTAGGATCAATTGTTCTCAGTGCACCCAGCCCTCTGATCTGAAAGACAGTCAGGGAGCTGAATGAAGCCCCATTATCCAAGGGGAAATGGTCAGTGACCTGCAACACTACTTAGAAATACAAAAGTCAATGGGGCCCAAGGGGATCCTTCCAAGAGTACTGAGGGAGTGGGAGAAAGCACTCACCAAGCTGCTTTCAATCATTTACCAGCAGTCCTGCCTAACCGAGGAGGTCTCAGTTGACTGGAAATTACCAAATGTGAAGTCCATCTACAAGAAGGGACAGAAGGACAATCTGAGGAACTACAGGCCTGTCAGCATGACCTTGGTGTGCAGGAAGGTTATGGAGCAGATCATCATGAGTACCATCAAATGGCATGTACAGGACAAGCAGGGGATCAGACCCAGCCAGCATGGACTTAGGAAAGGCAGATTCTGCTTGACTAACCTGGTCTCCTTCTAAGACAAGGGGATCCACTTAGTGGATGAGGGAAAGGCTGCAGGTGTTGTTTAGCTGGGCTTTGGTAAAGCCTTTGACACAGTTTCACACAACATTCTCCTGGAGAAACTAGCTGCTCATGGCTTGAAAGGGTGTACTCTCACTCTCTGCTGGGTAAAAAACTGACTGGATGGCTAGATCCAAAGAGATGTGGTGAATGGAGTTAAAAGTAACAAGTTATGTTTCTCAGGTCTCAGTATTGGGTTCAATTCTGTTTAATATCTTTATTGATTATTTGCATGAGGGCATCCAGTGAACCCTTAATATATTTGCAGATGACACCAAGTAAGGCGGGAGTGTTGATCTGCTTGAGGGCAGGAGGGCTCTATAGAGGGATCTGGACAGACTAGATAGATGGGGTGAGGCTAATTGCATGAAGTTCAACCAGGGTAAATGCCAGATCCTGCACTTGGGTCACAACTACCCCATGCAATGCCACAGGCTTGGGGAAGACTGTCTAGAAAGCTGCTCAGTAGAAAAGGACTTGGGGGTATTAGTCAATAGCCATCTGCATATGAGCCTGAAGTGTGCCCAGGTGGCCAAGAAGGCCAATGGCATCCTGGCTTGTATCAGAAATAGTGTGGCCAGCAGGGCGAGGGAAGTGATTGTCCTGTACTTGGCACTGGTGGGGCCACACCTCAAATACTGTGTTCAGTTTTGGGCCCCTCACTACAAGAAAGACATTGAGGTTCTGGAGTGTGTCCAGAGAAGGGCAACAAAGCTGGTGAAGGGTCTAGACCACAAGTCAGATGAGAAGTGGCTGAGGGAACCAAACTGGAGAAAAGGAGACTGAGGGGAGACCTTCTCACTCTCTACAACTACCCGAGGTAGGGGTCGGCCTCTTCTCCTGGGAAAGAAGCAATAGGATAAGAAATGGCCTCAAGTTGCACCAGGGGAGGTTTAGATTCGATATTAGGAGAAATTTCTTCACCAAAAGAGTTGTGAAGCATTGGAACAGACTGCCCAGGGAAGTGATAGAGACACCATCCCTGGAGGTATTTAAAAGACATGTAGATGGGGCACTTAAGGACATGGTTTAGTGGTGGACTTGGCAGTGTTAGGTTAATGGTTGGACTTTATGATCTTATGTGTATTTTCCAACCTAAATAATCCCGTTATTCTATGATTCTACATAAACAATCATTAATAACAGCAACACAATGTAGCACCATAAACATGGGTCCTTCTATGGGTTTTTTATTATGTTTTTTCTATTTCAAGATAAAAGTTTGATTTTAGAAAGAGTCTGTAAATCACCATGACATTATTTCCACAGACTTTTGTCAGGTTTTACAGTGCATGCTCCCTGACAAAGCAGGTTTAACTTATCAGAATAATACTGGATAAGCTTCTGAACATGATGCAGTATTGCCAGAGAACAGATTTTCTTTTTCTTGTGTTGTGGTATCACTCAGCATTCCTTAATGCAATGGAAAGATGCATTTAATTAAAGAAACTTAGTCAGGACAACATCAGTCTCTGGAAAATCCTACCCTGAATATTTGTATGTGACTGAAAATGAAATAACTGGACCTCTCTGTAACTATAATGTCAGGCCACAGGATGTTTGCACCTGTTCAGTTTTGCATTGTCAAAGTGTGAAAAGCAAGCTGCAGTAAAAGGCAGACTGCAAGTTAGGCTCTCAGTGAAGTTGCTAATTTCATGTGTTTCAAACTTGGTCATATTCTACTGTTTGTATGCAAAAATCTTATCTACCACTTTCTACATTCTGTAGAAAAATTGTTGCAAAAGACAGAAAAAATGGAGAAAAGCAAGGAAATTTGACCTCAGGTTTGATCTAGCACTTTATAAACCTAGTCATGACTAATCTGTCTGGAACAAGAGTAGATAACTTCTCTGTAGGCATTATCTTAATTGACAAGCCAGCATCTTTAATGCAGTGTCCAGAAGCAACATCCAGCTGTTTTCCTCAGACATATAATTTGACTGATGTGGCAATTCAGTGTTCTAAAGTGATGTGAAGGGCACTGGGATTTGATTTAGAAGACAATACAATTAGGTACGGTCATGTGGCTGTGCCCTCAGTTTTTTTTCTAATGGCACCATTTTCTAACAATGGTAAAAACCATCCCCAGGGACTGAAGATGCAGAATTTGGCTTCTCCATTTACCTGTTCCCTTAGCAATTGTACATCCCAACTGTGTTAATGTTTGAAGACATGTTCTTCATAGCTCAGCTTCAGGGCAGCATGATGTGATCAGAGAAAACTGCTCTTCTCACTGTGACTTGAGAAACCTGAATAATTCCATTGGCATGGGGGAATCAAGATGTGAAAGTAGCTTAACTGCATCCTTAACTGTGCAGAGCAACATTATTTTGCAGTGCTTAACCAACCTCTTCACAGTCCTGAAAGACTGTAATGAAACTAAGGATACTGAGAGTTATTTTTCAGGGCCTATCTTGTGCTTTAAAGCTGTTTTTTTTTTCTCTCAACCAGGCATAACAATGACAAGACATTTCTTGTCTGGATTAATGAAGAGGACCACACCAGGGTGATCTCCATGGAAAAGGGTGGCAACATGAAACGGGTGTTTGAAAGATTTTGTCATGGTTTAAAAGAGGTAGTGACTCAGTGAATTTATTATACCTGTTTGTTTATTGCTGGGCTGTTGTCAGCATTACTTAGCATGATTAACACTGAACTGACATCTCCAGAAGCAACAAAATAAAGTAACACTAGTTCAAGTAGCAACCCACATTAATAGCAGTTAAAGAAGGAAACAAATTGTTAGCTGAGTTGTAGAAAAAATAGGTAAAATGTCATTTGAGCTTTTATATTACAATCTTCAGCACTGAATGGCTAAAGAAATGTTTTTGGTTTTTTTTTTTATTTTTCCTTGGAACAATTGCTTTATTTGTCTCATTCTGGAAAAGCAGCTTTCACTCCAGCTTCTCTGGATTTCTAGACTCCCCTGTTGTCGCTGTTGAGGCAGGACGGGAATGAGAAGACTCTGACCAGAAGGTTGCTGAGAGTAAAACTCTGGTTTATTCAAAATACACCGCTCTTTTATACAGAGCTTAGTGAGGACCAACTTCATTGGTCCTGAAGTGAAAACAACCTACACCATTGGCGCAAAGTGCTTGACTCACAGTGATAGAACTTAACTATAAACAATGTGAAAAACAAGAGAGATAAAGAATTATTTATATTCTTCTTTAGCTCTTTCCCAGGCTTCTGCCTGGCTAGAAATTCTCAGTTTCTTTCTTTGACTGAATCTGAGACCCACACCCTGTCTCAGGAAATCTCCAACTGCTGTATAGCTTATACAGTTGTACACTCCCATATTGCTTCAAAGCCACCAGCATAGGCCTTCACCCGAAAAAAAAAAAAAACCCAAACAAATACCACATGGCAAAGTAGGGAAAGCAGGGAACTATAATGGCTTCTACATGTATATTAACCAGAAAAGGAAAGTCAAAGAAGGTGTACCCCTCCTGATAAACAGTGCTGGTGAACTGGTAACAATGGATGAGAAGGCTGATGTACTCAACAATTTTTTTTCTCAGTCTTCAATGTCAACCTCTCTTCCCACACTTCTCCTGTGGATAGACAGCAGGATGGGGACTGGGGAGCAAAGTGCTTCCCACCATAAGTAAAGATCAGGTTCATGACCACCTGAAGAAACTGAATGTACAAAAGTCTATGGGACCCAATGAGATGCAACCCAGAGTCCTGGAGGAATTGGCTGATGTAGTTGCCAAGCCACTCTGCATGATATTTGAAAAGTCTTGGCAGTCAGGTGAAGTCCCAGGTTCCTGGAAAATGGAAAACATTTTCCCCATCTTTAAAAAGGGTAGAAAGCAGGACCCTGGGAACTACTGACCTGTTAGCCTCACCTCTGTACTTGGGAAGATCATAGAACAGATCCTCCTAGAAGCTATGTTAAGGCACATGGAGGATGGGGAGGTGGTTCAAGGCAGCCAGCACTACTGTACCAAGGGCACATCCTGCCTGACCCACCTAGTGGCCTTCTATGATGGGGTGACTACATCAGTGGACAAAAAAAGAACTACAGATATAATTTATCTGGGCTTCTGTAAAGCCTTTGACATGGTCCCCCCCAACATCCTTCTCTCTGAACTGGAGAGAGATGGATTTGATGAGTGGACTGTTAGATATATAAGAAATTAGTTGGACAGTCACATCCAGAGGGTAGTGGTCAGTGGCTCAGTCCCAATGAACATCAGTGGTGAGTGATGTCCCTCAGGGGTCGGTATCTGGGCCAGTGTTATTCAATGTCTTCATCAAGAACATAGACAAAGGGATTGAATGCACCCTCAGCAAGTTTGCAGATGACACCAAGCTGCGTGGTGCAGTTGACATGCCTTGAAGGACAGGATGCCATCCAGAGGGACCTGGGCAAGCTCAAGAAGTGGGACCATGGGAATCTCATGAGGTTTAATAAAACCAAGTGCAAGGTTCTGTACCTGAGTAGGGGCAACCCCTGGTATCAATACAGGCTGGGGGATGAACACATTAAAAGCAGCTCTGCTGAGAAGGCCATGGAGGTGCTGGTGGATGAGAGGCTGGACATGAGCTGGCAAAGTGTGCTTTCAGTCCAGAAAGCCAATTGTATCCTGGGCTGCATCAAAAGAAATGTGGCCAGCAGGTCAAGGGAGGTGATGCTGCCCTTCTACTATGCTAATGTGAAACCCCACCTGGAGTGCTGCATCCAGCTCTGGGGTCCCCAGCACAGGAAGGACATTGACCTGTTTGAGCGAATTCAGAGGAAGCCACCAAAATTATTAGAGAGATGGAACACCTCTGCTATGAGAAAAGGCTGAAATAATTGGGTTTGTTCAGCCTGGAAAAGAGGCGGCTTTGGGGTGACCTAATTGCAGCCTTCTGGTACCTGAAGGGAGTCTACAAGAAAAATTGAAAGACACTGTTTACAAGAGCATGTAGTGATAGGACAAGGGGGAATGGGTTTAAATTGAAAGAGAGTAGGTTTAGATTAGATATTAGGAAGAAATTCTTTACTGTGAAGGTGGTGAGGCACTGGCACAGGTTGCCCAGAGAAGTTGTGGATGCCCCATCCCTGGAAGTGTTCAAGGCTAAGTTGGATGGGGCTCTGAGCAACCTGGTCTAGTGAAAGGTGTCCCTGCCCATGGCAGGGGGTTTGAACTAGATGATCTTTAAGGTCCTTTCCAACCCAAGCCATTATATGATTCTATGATTATCTGATTGAGGAAGTAGTCCCTGAAGGTAAGTTCAGAGCATCTCTAAGAAATTTTGAGTATGTGGTGAGTTTGGAAACATGGAAAAACAAAAGTGCCTAGTGCATGCTTCATTGGCATCTGGGTGGTTCACTAGGATCTGGTATGCTTTTTAAGCATATCCATGACACCGAATAATGTGCAGGATTGGGGTCTAAGTGACAGCTTGTGGATGTTTTTTCCATGTTTTCCTCTGCTACTGTGCTTATCTCTTGTTCAAGAGAAGTCGGCCTCTGGACATTGACATATGGTCAGATAGCTTTGGAAACTGTGACCAGAGCAAGTGTATGAGGCAGGAAATCAAATCTAGTTTCTTACAAGCAATTTCTGTGTCCTCATGCAATATTTAAATGTCAGGAGAGTCCATTATTTTGTATTCTTCTGCAGAATGGAAATATTTGCCTATATTGCAGAGGACTTGTGTACCTGAACTGGCATAGGTGTCTGATTATCTTCTGACAGTGGTTTTACTGAACTGAAATTGTATTTGGGTCACAGAATTAAGTCTCAGAAGTGTATCTGAATGGACAGAATAGTGGCTTATTCAAAGGTCAATAGACCTTTGTGATATTCCTGAGGATAATGATTTTAGTCTCCTTTGTAAGTGGATTTTAGAATTACTAATGAAAATCATTACAGTAGTCTTTTCATAGTGGAAACAGGGCTATGAATTTTAAGCATTTAAAAATCAGGTGTCCTTCACCTAGCATCATGTAATTACCTTGAAAGTTATATAAAACTAGGCTTTGGCTCCTTTTGTTTACTCCACAGTATTTGAGATGTTTGGTCTTGTGCTTTGCAACCTTGCTTTAAAAGCACCTAGGCTAGAAAATAATTTATACTATAGGTAAAAACTTATTATGTGACCATGTAGTTTCATGGGCTAAGGCCATGTGATAAAGTGCTAAAGAGCCTTCAAGTTAAGGGTAGTTAGAAAATGATGAAGAAATTGTTGTAATATTCACTGTGAAACTTGATGCCTGATGAATACAAAGGCTCATACTAGAGCCAAACCAGACTTTACTTGAATATATTTATATGCACCTCCATCGGTAAATAGTGGAGTTAATCTTCAACATAGGTACAAAGTGAAAAGAATTTAATCTATAAATAACTATCAGAAGATGAGATGTTTATATGCAGTTCTTTCTTTTTCCTCTTTTTTTTTTTTTTTCATAGGTTGAAAAATTAATTAAAGAACGAGGCTGGGAGTTCATGTGGAATGAACGTCTTGGATACATTCTGACTTGTCCTTCAAACCTAGGAACTGGTTTACGTGCTGGAGTCCATGTAAAGCTGCCAAAGCTTAGCAAGGTACATAAATTGTTTAAAAGGCCAGTGATATAAATTAGGTCTTTATGTGATTTATAAAGAAACAAATAAAAAATGATAGTTTGCAGCAATTGGATGTTTGAAAGATGTTCAACAGCTAGGTCCCAGGCATAATGCATGACTGAGCATACTTGTATTTTGAAAATTATTATATTTGTTATGGAAATTAATCTACTCAGCAGACAAACACCAAGACAGGCTATAATCCAAAGACAGAGGAAATTGACTCTGCCTGTCATTCTGGAGATGGTATTAGATCATGGATAATAACAATAAGAAAGGCAAAAGACAATATGCACAAACCTATTTCTTCTGTTAGGATCCCAGGTTTCCAAAAATCCTGGATAACTTGAGGCTACAGAAGCGTGGCACTGGTGGAGTGGACACAGCAGCTGTAGCAGATGTGTATGATATCTCCAACTTGGACCGCATGGGTCGATCAGAGGTAACTTGTTTGTTTTATTCCTTGCTTTTAAACTCAAATCTGCACTAAGACCGTTTCCCTCCATCTGAGTTAACTAAGAATTCAGTCATTTTTTGGAGTTAGGGCAGTTTTTTCTTCTTGTGAACTTAACCCAATGAAAAGGCTTGCACAATAAAAAATGACTACAGTGCATGCAATGTTTGCCAAATATGACAAGTTTCTGAGCAAGTTCCATAAATGTGACAGGTTTACATCATGTGCTGAAGCATTTTGTTGAAAGCATGAAGGTACTAGAAACATTTGGTTGTGGTAACAAAGTTCCTCTGGGACAATGTTTCTCAGCATCACAGCATGAACTTTTATACCTGAATACCTCCTGGAGTACACAGCTATGAGATAAGTGTACAGGTTGTCTCTCCAGTGCTGGGCATGAGCTAGGTGCCTAAGAGTCATAGGATCATAGAATGGTTTGGGTTGGAAGGGACTATAAAGATCACCTAGTTCCAACCCCTCTGCCATCAGATGGGATGTCACCAACTAGATCAGGTTGCCCTGGGCCCCATCAAGCTTGGCCTTGAACACTTCCAGGGATGGGGCATCTACAACTTCTCTGGGCAACCTGTGCCAGTGCCTCACCACCCTCACAGTAAAGAATTTCTTCCTAATATTTAATCTACACCTACTCTCTTTAAGTTTGAACCCATTCCCCCTTGTCCTATCACTACACACCCTTGTAAAAATCCCTCTCCATTTTTCTGAATGAGGTTCACTGAAGTTTTACACTGGGAACCGGGCTACATACTGTACATTGGACAGGTACCTGCTGTACCCAGTGCAAAATGCGGAGGAAAGAAGCAGGATTTTAGGACTAACCCACACAGGGAATCAAGCACTGACATTAAGAGTGGATTTACATGCCGTTTTCCTTTTAGCATTCAGTCATGCACTTTAACTCTATTGAGTTTGTCTGGGATGGCATTAGTTTTCCCCTGTGCAGCCCCCCTAGTACTGTGCTTTGCATTGGTAGCCAGAAAGGTGTTGATAACACACCAGTGCTTTGGTTACTGCTGAGCAGCACTGGTGCAGCATCAGTGCTGTCTCCAGTATTATACCCCCCTTACCAGTAGGCTGAGGGTGGCCAAGATCTTGAGAGGGGGCATAATGAGGACAGCTAACCCAAATTGACCAAAGGGATATTCCATACCATATCACATCTGTTCAGATATAAAAGCTAAGAAAAGGAGGAGGAAGGAGGGGGAGCATTCGTTCTTTACAGTGTTTGCCTTCTGGAGCAACCACTACACATGCTGAAGCCCTGCTTCCTGGGAAGAGGCCATAGATCACTTGCTAATGGGAAGTAGAGAATAAAATCTTTGGGATTTTTTTTCCATTGCTTGCATGTGTGCCACCTTTGCTTTTTCTTTAGTAAACTGCCTTTATCTTGAACCATGAGGGGTTTTTCCTATATTATGTTCTTCCCCCCCCCCCCCCCCCCCATCCAGCTGAGGAAGGGAGTGAGAGTGATAGAGTGGCTTGGTGGGCAAGTGACATCCAGCCAAGTTCAACCAAGTTAGTCTAAACAGCTGTGGCCAAAAGTCTAGTCCTGCCATCCTACCAACTCCCAGTCATGTGAAGGAATTCCCACTTCCTTCCTCTACCCCATGCATCTAGAAGCTTTCAGGGCTCATGCTACTACTAGACTGGGGAAATGAGCGTGTCTCTTCCCCTCCTTGCACTTCCATTCCAATTAGTTTTCAGTTGACTGTTTTCTCATAACAGAGCATAATTTTTGCTTTTCCAGTCCCTCAAAGAACTATATGGCTTTAAAATTAAATAGCACAAAACTATATTAGTATCTTAATATCACAGAATAAGTTTTAGTTTCTATGGTTGATGATGTATAGATTATCCTCCAAAATTCACTAGTGTCCATTTGGATGCAGTGCATTCTTTCTTCTACAGTACTGACTGTATATTTAATAAAGCTGTTGTATTTCACAGAATATAGGTAAACAACAGTCTAAAACATCAAGAAGTAAGCGCATATGTACAGATGCTTTAAGCATGCTAAACAGTATAAGGGAGAGCTCTGCATGATTCTGTGAGCCATTTCAGTATTACTCAGATATCTCATTACTATCCATCAAGAAAATACAACTATCCTACTTTCTACAGAAGAAAGAAAAAGTGCCAGTAGTCTTCACAGTCATTTACCAAATGTCAGACCAACGTTCCATAGCTTTTAAGCCCAAACACATTTGGATAAAGGCATTAATCCAAACCTCACAAGATGATGTTGGCAAAACACCAGAACCTCTTTATTTATACTGGCATTTGTTGCTTCAGAGAACTGCCTAGTGACTCTAAACATCCATGGCACTGCCTTTTCACTTTCTTTGTCCTAATATGTAAATTGTGAGAACACAGCAAATGGGAATCCATGGCTTTGACATGCTGTAGTTCTCAGCATCTTGTATTCTCAGTGGTAACATTTGAAACAGGTCTCTAAACTCAAGCCTAAACCTTTTATTTAAGCATTTATGTTTGTCTATTTCTATAGGCATATGTGTAGGAGCAGAATTTGGTGGAAATTAGGGGACTATTTGAAAATTTCTAATGTTAGAAGGCCAAGCTCAGCATGAACAGGAGAAAGGGTAGGGAGAAGGGAATTACTATGGGCTTCCACTTGACCAATGCATGACCTATATTTCCTGTGTCACAGCATGTGTGATCTCTGTGTCCAGGTCATGATTCTCCTTGGGTCTGGCTTTACTTGCAGTCTTTGCCATACAAGCCAATTTTTTCCTTCCAATTTAACAGTGTTGCCTAAATCTTTTGTTATTATTGTTTTTCTTGTTGTTGTAGGTAGAACTAGTTCAGATTGTCATTGATGGAGTCAACTATCTAGTTGACTGTGAGAAGAAACTGGAAAGAGGTCAAGACATTAAAGTACCACCACCATTACCTCAGTTTGGCAGGAAGTGATCTTGTGGCTGATGTCTGTTAATGATAAAAAATATGGCTGCCATTTTGACAGAAAGGCACCTCTGTATATCTCTATTTAAATACCTTGTTTAATAAAACACTGCCTGATACCCAATGTCTCTCTACATGCCTGGTCACACTAACAGAAAATAGTCTTAGTGCAGCTTTCGTAGGACAGCCACTTTGTAGGGACTTCTTCCCTTTTCCCTTTGTCTTCTCAGGAACCTTTACCTAGGCTTTGAACCTTTCTTTCTTGGCTGATGATAAGGAAAGTATTACCTAAATAATGCAAAAGGCACAAATACATAACTCTAGCTTGTATGTACACTTATGGCTATATTTATGCAGACTTCTGAGCACCTGAGTTTTATTCACAGAAGCACTTGTCTTGAGTGCCTGTCTAGAGTACAAAAATCTCTCAGTCTGAAGGGCAGGTGCTTGCAATATGCTCATTACTTTTTCAGCATTCAACACCATGTTCAAAAGTTAACTAGAGCAAGCAGCTGCAAATGGCTTCAGTCTCTGAAGTCTGCCACTTGACCTGTCATCTGGAACTCATTGGTGTCTCTGTATGGGAGATGTCTCTTCTCTGTCCAGGACTGGTTTGCAGACAAACTTATTTACCATGTCATCCCAAACTCTCAGACTTTCTTAGCCCTGGTGGAGATTTCACCAGTTCAGCAGGTTGCATTCAGGTGTTTTCCTCAGGTACCACCTCTGGCCTTAGACTGCAGCAAGCTGAACCTAAAATCAGAAGTAACAAATATCAGTTTGCTGATATTCTGTATCCAACAGAAACCTGCCCAGCATGACCTCTTCCAGTCTTTTCCTTCAGCTTTCTGGTCATGGGTAATAGGGACCAGGCTCCAGCACCAGTCACCCAAGTGCCCAGGATGTACTGGAATACAGTACCCTGAGTAAAAGCTTCTCAGTGCTCACCACTGTTCCATGTGGTAAGCAGCTTGGAAAAACAGCAGACAGTTTGAGTCCCTTTGCTTATCTTTTGCATATGAAACATATTCAGTGTTTCACAGTAACCTTTCAAAACATGCCCTGGTGAATGTGCTGTCTGTGTTGACATTGAGCTGGGAGTAGTATCTGTAAGGCTATGTAGAAGAGGAGGGTATCTGCTCATGTATTGAGTTTGCATGGCAAGATTTTGGAGGAGGGGGGGAGATACAGGGATAGCTTATGTAAGATGTCAGAAACTTCCCCTATGTCTGACAGTCAGTTGTAGCCAGCTTCAAGACAGATTTGCCACTGGCCAAAGCTGAGCCAATCAGCCCTGGTGGTAGCACTCCTGTAATAACATTTAAGAAGGGGAAAAAGGTTCTGTGCAACAGCAGGCAGAAGAGAGGAGTGAGAATATGTGAGACAAACAACTCTGTGGATACCAAGGTCAGGGAAGAAAGAGGGGGAGGAGGTGCTCCAGGTTCCCCCATTCCCTGTCCCTGTATACTGCTTGGAGGGAGGAGGTAGAAAATTCAGGAAACAAACTGAGCTCAGGAAGAAAGGGGGGGGGGGGGGAGGAGAAGTATTTTAAGATTTTTTATTGTTATTATTTCTTATTATGCTACTCTGACCTTTGATTGACAATAAATTTAAATTAATTTCCCCAAGTCGAGTCTGTTTTGCCTTTTATGGTAGTTGCTGAGTGATCTTCCTGTTCTTATCTTGACCCACAAGTCTTTTGTCATATTTTTTTTCCTGCCCCTTCCCATTTGAGGAAGGGGAGTGATAGAATGGTGGGCACCTGGTATCCAGACAAGGTCAATCCACCACAGCTCCCTTAAGGGTATCCAGTCAAGGATCTTTTTAATGCAAAAGGGGATAAAAAGAAAGGAGGGAAGCAAGGAACAACACATAGAAGATACAAACCTGACCAACAGACAATAAGTGAGGCAATAGCAAGAACTAAACCTGGTCAGTTAAGCTAATTGATAAGAGTATGAGGAAGGTGTGAACACTTATTTCAGTAAGATTATCTGATCAAGAGCCTTGTCAAAATGGGATAAGGAAATGGGTTAGGCAATAAGCAAAACATCTAGACCAGACAAACAAACAAGTGGCCATGACTGACGGAAAGTCCAAAGGAAAGTCTGGGGGCTGAGACAGAGCTGTACAGGGGGGGTTTCAACATCAGGGACATCCGAGCAGCAGGCCCCAGCCTCGTCAGGACCTGGAAGCCCTCAACAGCCAACCAGGTGAGAAGGGGGCGATGCCGGGAGCAACCAAGGGAGATTTAAATGGTTCCAAGGAGCTCAACACATCTATGAGGGCATGGCATGGCAGTTCACACGGTAGGGTGAGCAGGTTGAGCTCCTCTCTGACCATTTCTGAGCAGCCAATAGAGGCAGCAAACAGACTCAGCATCTGATAAGGAAGGGCAAAGAGATCCTTTTAGCCCCAGTCTTGTTAGCGTACTAGTCCAAGCTTCCTCAGTTATGGTGTTTCCATGCAGTAAAGCTCAATCCCATGTAGCTGCAGGAGTCACTGAACCAGCCATGTCAGTCTTCCAGCCAGCCATGACACGCGGATGAAAAATCAAAACCCCACAATTCCAATAAAGATTTGTATGGAACAGTAATTTTTCTTTTCAGGGCTGGATGCTCACCGGGATTTCCCCTGCAGCAGTGATTTCCCTTCAAAGGGCATGTGCACCCCTTGAGGATTCCCAATCCTTTTTATTATCCCGTACTAATTTACATATACGTAGAATCTTACAATAGGTTCATGCATATTCATTCTGTTGATTACAATTTACAGTTGGCCCTTTGTACAGAGAACTCTCTAATCCCTTTGTCCATTTTTGCAGACTTCTTCTTTTCTTAGTTTCAGAGTTCAAGGGGCCCCTCTTATCTCTTCACCTTGGAGATTGCATTCTTTTCTCCTTGGCTGGGACAGTTTTGCAAGCACAGCAGAGTTAATAGACTAAACAGCATATTTCACTCATGCTAGAAAGCCACTACGCAGTACACTTCACCTAAAACCAGATGGATTTTCTACCCTGTTAAATTTTACTCTGTTTCAGCCAGACCTGCTAATGGTAGATGTAGCTCTCCAGGTCACAGGTTGCCAGGATTGCCTGATGCCTCTTTGCGAGGCTGGGGCTGACAAACAATCCTTTTGCAGAAGGTGTGCTGTGGTTGAGAATCTGTGTTGCCAGATGTCTTGGTTTAAAGCACAGATGTTGGCCAAGGAAGGTGGGAACCTCCCTTGGAATAGAAAATTTGACCTCCTTCCCTCCAAATTATTATAACTTTGAAATTATGGGGCTTTCAGGCAAAGAGATGGGAAAAGGAATAACAGTTCTTTACTAGAATCTATATAATACCAAGACAAACAAACAACAACAACAGCAGCAACAACAAACAAAACCAGATACCAAACAACAGCCTTATTTCAGCTGTCAAGCACTTTCCCGTTTGGTGTAGTTATGGTCACAGCCGGCAGGGGTGCTGTGGGCTCCAGGCTGGGCAGGGAAGGTGCAATGATTCTTCTGCGGCTGCAGGGGGCGCTGTTCTACCAGCTCAGCCACATCTCTACACAGGAATGGCGGGTGAGCTGCTGGGGGAGATAGAAAAGGAGCTTCCTTTACAAACCCACAGGGGCAGCTAGTCTCAGTGCCCCTCTGGATGATGAAATGGGATGTAGCAGGAACCTCAGAGTAGCAGGCTGGAACAGCAGCAGCAGGCACACCTGGGGGTGGTGTTATAGATACATGTTATAATACTGGCTTTTCACAAATATTAAAATGGATTTTATGTGTGGTGTTGAAGTAACCGTTTTATAAAGATATAGTTTGTATTTCTGCTGTTAATTAAGCTAAGACATATTAGTGAAATAGCTGATATAAGTATGCTTGTGTTAAAATGCCTGCTTGGATGGGATAACATCCAATGAACATAGGATGAGGACACCTGCTACATATATGCCAACTATCAATACTCACCATCTGAAGAATGCATAGACCAAGGTCCAAACTGGAAGTGATAAGGACAAGGAGCCAAAACCACAACCAAGAAACACGCATGCTCTAAAAAGGCAGAGCCCAAGCAGGGGCCATGTAAAATAGTTCCTAGAATATGTAAACTAGTTTATGGATATGCATAAGGGTCTATGAATATGCAACAGGCTGATGTAATAGAAAAGGTATTTAAGGCATATCCCCGAAAGTGACGGTGTAGTCTTGGCTGAGTGCCAAGATGCACCCGGCCGTAATAACCTTTGCTCTATGGTCCTTGTCTCCTACTGTACTGTATTAAACTTTTTAAATTTTCACAGGAGAGTGAATGTGTTTTTCACAGTAGGCATCTGGTCAAACCATCAACATATTTTCTTCTCCTTTCTAGGAGAGCTTGTTCTGCTAGATCTTCCCGAAGCCTAGTTCGGCAACCTCCAAACAACCACCTCCCTGTCCTTCATAAAGAAATTACATTCAAATTCCTGTCCTCCTCCAGTACCAAGTTATCATTATTCCATATTCCAGCATCTTAGAGTCTGTTAACCACCCTTCTTTTTTTCTTTTTCAACCCGTCTTTTTCTTCTTTTTTTTTTCCCCTCTTTTTTTTTTTATTTTTTTCCTCTGATTTAACACACTTTGCACCGCACAAGGTGTATACACAACTAGTTTATCTCTAGAAGTAAGTCCACAGCCCTTTTTTTCTTCTGGTACAACACCCATTTCCAGTTGCATCTGCAAGTGTCTCCTCAACAAGCTGATGCTTACCCCAGGAACCAAGAAGACATCTCCTATCCCCATGCCAGTCTCTTTCCTAATTGCTCCATCTTCAATGACAGGAATTTTGTACCTTTCTCCTTGTGCCCCTGCCACTTCCACCATGTTACCACCCATATCACATCTCCCTGGAATCTCCACCACACAAGTTGTCTCTGCCCTAGAATCAACCACAAATTCCAATACTTCCTCTTGGGGGCCTACTTCCAAAGTTATCAAAGACTCCAGATGGCATTCATCCCCCAAAAAACAGAGCCCATGATCTTCCCACTCCTTCACAGGGCACTTCCCTGAAGCACCTCCAAGTCTTCCTCTAAGTGAGGGTGCCCTCCCCCACTACAGCAGAATCAGGCATTCGTAGTCCCTTCCCGGGACCCTGACCATACCAGGGCTCTGCCACCCTCCTGAACCCCTCCCATAGATACAGCAGGAGCTGAAATCACCGAGGCAGCAGGGGTTGGCAGTGAGGTTGGAACCAGTAAAGGGACACAATTAGGAGCGGAAGTCAGCAGGAAAGCCGGAATCAACAAGGAAACAGAGGTAGGAGCAGGGGGCTCCAGAGTCACGGCGGGGACGAGAGTGCACACAGTCAGAGAAGCTGATACGGGTAGGGAGACTGGAGCTCCTGGTATGAGCAGAGAAACTGGAGACAGGGAGAGGCAACATTTCCAGTGGGTCCCAGCCCCTTTTTCTGGCTCCCTGTCTCATTTCCCTATGAGAAATGCATTCCCCTGACATCCAATCCATTCCCCTGACAACTTGAACAACTCCCACTCTTCACAGCACAGAAAAATACAATCCACCTTCTTCTAGAAAACTTACACTTTAAATCAACAATCCATATCACAGATACTTTGATTCATTCATACTCACACCTTTTTATTTCTTTAATATGTCTCACTCACTCCTACTCACAACCGGACAAAACAAAATAAGGTACCTTTGTTCTCAAGTAATTTGTTAATATCCACCCAGGGGTATTATAAAATCTCAAAATGTTATTGGCCAACCCCAGATGCTCTTGGGTATCCCTCAATCCAGCTGTTTTGTTCAATCCTGGATGTTCTTGGGCATATCCTCAATCCAGCTATTCTGGTTTGAAAGCAAAACCAGTGAGACACTCCAAGTCAGAAATACAATTTATTGGGAAAAGGGAAAAGAAACAAAATACATGCAATAATACAAAAGGAAGACCACCGACAAAGTCAGAATACAACCTGACACCCCTTTGGCCAGCGTGTTGGTAGCAGTCCAAATTGGAGTGGCTGCAGTCCTCCTGGAGTGGCAGATGTGGCTCTGTTGGAGCAGTGGTCCTGTAGAAGGGTGTCGTCTTCCTCTGAAGGTCCAGTGGAAAACCCCAGCTGTTCCTCTTGGAAACCTGTGGGAAGGCTGACTCCTCTGTCCCAAACCCCAGAATATATCTAGGTGGGGATGCTCCTGGGCGGAGCATCTCACAATGGGCTGATGTAATTCTGAGTCATGCGGTGGGTCCTTGATTACCCGTTAAACAGAAATGGCTCCTGGAGGGAGTTATCTCTCAGTCATGTGGCAAGACATTGATGGGCCCATTAACAGGAGATTAATTCGATTTCCATCTACATCACGATGAAACCTTACACACTGTTCTCACTTAAGACTAAGTTTCCCTGTGGTACACAATG